ATTTCCTTGCATTGAATTTTTGATAGTTATTATAGGGAGAATAATAAACAATTTCTAACAAGTTTCATCTTTATGTTTTGAATGTTGGGGTGATGTTGTTTTTCCTCTAACTTTACTGCAGTATTTATGAAGTGTCTTAATATTCATAAAATTCAACATTTTGATTTACGATATGTACAGGTAATTCTTGTATGGATTACGATATACAAATATATAATGACTGTTAGGTAGTTTATCCTCTTGGAGAAATATAATGTTTTTTTTTAAAAATTATTATTCCATTCGGATTTTACGTGTAAGGAAAAATCGCCCCTTCCTCTATTCCAGATATAAAAATTCAGAATCTTGGAGAATATTCATTTTCTCGATAACGCCATGAGACTAGTCTAGTTCTTTAATAAAGGTTTCTTTATAATTAATAAACAGAATTTCAGTTAAAAAATGTATCAATAAATAACAGTAAAGTCAATTAGGTCGATATATTATTGTTTGCGGTTTTGAAATTATGTCTTTTTTTTTCAAAATTAATTTGTTGTAATTCACTAACATTGAGCCCTAATATCGAAGTAGACCTAAGAGTTACTAAAAATCGATGCTTCATTGCACAATCTTGAAACCGATGGTATTTTCATTAAATAAAAATATAATATAATAATAGACCCTTATATCAATGAGATCCGAACAGTTACTATTAATCAAAATGCGATTGTATAATTTTATTTTTTTTTAGTTTTTTTCATAAAAATGTTTTTTAATGATACTTACTTGAATAAATGTTTATTCGGTGAATATTTCTTTTTAGAAAAACTTTATTCCGATAATATTTTTATTAAAAAATGTTTTTTTTTTTTTTATATAAGAATATTGAAGAATTAAAGAATGCAATCAAAATTTTAGATTATCTTAAGAATAGTCAAAAACTAAAAGATTATTGAATACTTAATAGCTGACCGTTGTATTATTAAGAACGTGGATGGTCTGGGCTGGCGGTCATAAATAGACTAAATAGTGGCCAAGCTATTTTATTAAAAGCCAACGTTTTGACCGGACTTTGCAGGTCTTCTTCAGGGCTAGAACGGACAAGATACAAACATATATAGAGAATTGTGGATGTTACATCATATTTAGATAAAAATGATAAACAATGTGAATAAACTTATTAAAAGAATAAATAATAAGTTCATTAAAATATTAAGAACAATAAGTTGTATAAACAGAGTAAGCTAAGTAACAATATCCTAAACTGAAGTAAATATATGGTAATAATTCTTGTAGTATAATATAAAATATAACATATGCAATTGTGAATATACTCTATACTATACTACAGATCTACAGAAGAGATTGTAAGAAAAGGAAAAAGGGTATAATATGAAATAATGGACATAAAGGGATTATAGTTATGTCCAATTCATATAAACTTATTGTTCTTAATATTTTAATGGACTTACTGTTTATAATTTTAGTAAGTTTATTCACATTGTTTATAATAAGACAACGGTATATGCTAAGACTTCAAAACGTAGGGTTTGGTATAGCTCTTCTGGACGTATCCAAAACAGATATACCAAATCTTGACGTCCACGTCTAAATCTTCAAAACATAATTCGTCCCGTCTATATCCGCCGACTTTTGGAACCTTCTGAGTTCCGAAACTCCCAATTTTTCAATGACTCTTTTTGTAATTAGTTTTTAAGTTTTGATGTTTGCATTCGTTACTTCTCTATGAAATTCCCTTTCTTTTGATACCTCATTCGTCTCTCCTGAAAGTCGAAAAAGGGATCTATATCTATATAAATAAAATAAAGATTTTGTCTGTACATTGAATAGAATCAACCCGTTGCATGATATATTTCTGTTTCATACATTACAGACACCAAATCCACTTTTTAAAAAAAATTTGTCTGTCTGTATTGTCCACATTGTCCAACAAAATTTTGTCAGGGGTAAGCTCAGCAATGGCTAATGGCAGAATTTTTAAATTTTGGTATTATATTTAGGTTTGCTTAACTTAAAACTTAGGCTTTAAATGAAAACAAAATATTGAATAGAACCAACGTTAGGAATTCTTGAGTAATATGTCTAGAAATCCCGATTAGGCAGTTACTTCGATTCTCATCCCAACCAACTCTACTCCGAGCCACATTTAAAAGTTTTACTTACTGTTGTTAAACAATTTTATTGGATCGGTAGTGGTCGGTTTAGTTGTGTGGCACCTAATCAAATAGCCAAATAACAAAATTTTTAATATGAATATTGTGAAACCTTGACTTCCATAAGCCCCGCCATAAAAAATTCAAAACACCACCTCCCACCCAATATTAAATTTGAATCCCTTCCCCCATAATACACAATCAATCTAAAAAAAAGGTTCTCAAATTTTAACTTTACATCCGTCAACGAAGGGTACATCAGCTGGTATATTATATATCTATAACCATATTATATATAATGTTGATTATAGTTTTAATATTTAAAATTTAAAATAAATATTTAACTGTAACACCTTATATTATATATAGTAATAAATGTACCTTAACTTTTCCACGATCTCATTATTGTTATTCTATTACAGAAATATAGTTGCATTATCTTTTAAAATTGTTCTCCATTCTAAGATTAGTGACTTTTATTAAGGTTGTAGCGTATTTCCATTTATTATGACATAATATGCTTATATAAAACACTAAGTAATAGTAATAAATAGTAACTATCGATTTATCGAAGCCTTAGGAAAATGGCCGATAAGGAGAGGGTCGGGAGAGATAAGACAGATGGATGATCCCCCACCAGCCCTGACCAGGGCCATGAACCGGGGGTTGGAGGGGGCTTGGGAGGGTGCTTCGTAGGGGATGTTGTCACCCTTAGTGTTACCATGGCTACCAAACAGGACAGGCCAAGGATTTTTAGGCCTTGGGACTCCGACGAAGAGATCGCCAAGCCAAAGGTAAATTTTGTGTAAACTTCATCAACAGCTTTATTATTTTTTTATGGGTTTTTTAAAATTATTATTCTTCAAGACATAATTTATTTTCATTTTTATAATTATAAAAATAGACCTAATTATCTAGAAAAACTTATTAATACTCATAAAAATTTGAAAAACAATAACAAAACTATTCTAGGCATATTGTTTATATTTGTTACCATTTTATTATTTATTCTGGATTGAATTAGGTACACAAAAAAAAAAATTCTTTACTATCCTTTTATAGCCGACGTTTAGGTTTCATGTGCCATTTTCAAGTATTATCTATGATGCATCTTCTTGAAATTGTATATCACTTTTAAACAATATCGTCCTTGTAACCCATTTAAGTGGAGAGCCATGTAAAATCGGACATGAGGACCTCAACCAACCCGTACCTACCAAAGAAATTACCTTAACCGCGATTTTGGATTACAATGACGATTTTGTTTAAAAATTTTATACAATTTTAAAGGAGATGCATGATGGATAATACTTGAAAATGGCCCATGAAGCCGAAATGTCGGCAATAAAAATATTGTAAAAAAAAAAAATTTCTTTGTTACCCTTGATCAAAATTCAAAGGAAGGATAAATAAAAATAATATTGGATATCTATTATTTAACGATGCTATAATAAATACTAATAGATGATTAATTACTTCAAACCATCAGTAGTGTTGCCCAAATGCGAGACAAAGACGAATCTTGGTCTTGCAAACTCAGTCTTGGTCATGGTCTTGGTCTTGCGCAAGACTCTCGCAACAGTCTTGCAGTTACTTATTAGCTTATTACTATAGAGATATTACTGTGATTTTTTAGATAAGAGAAACCTCACTAAGCCCGAATGAAAAATTAGAGAAGTTAAATGCAAAAGTATATTGTTTATACCAATTATTTACATATAGTAACTAAGATTGTCAAGTATTAGTAACTATTTTGCCTTAATTTTTATTCAAAAATCGATTTTTTTACCAGTCCTGGTCTTGGTATTGCTACAGTTAGGCGGCCTTGGTCTTGGTTTTGTAAAGTGCAAGACCAAGACCGATTTTGGGCAACACTACCCATCAGTAGATTTATAAATAGAGATATATTGTACTCTGTACTTAGCAAATGTAAACAAAACTATAAAATGGACTCTTTTATCAATACAGATTATTTAAAAAATTGTAATGAGGATAATTTTATGGTATATTGTCATTTATATCAACGGTTCATTGCTGATAATCATTTACAATTAGCACGTTTTGATAGAGCTAAACTTTTTATTTATCTATGCAAAAACATATTAAATGACAAAAGCATGATATATCAAAAATAGTACACAATATTCTGATTTCAAAAGAAAGAAAATTCAAAAAGTATTTAGCAATTTAATTTTATAAAATGTTACCTAATGACTTATTGCAATAAGCGGACGATGTATTGTAATTTATTTAAAGATAAAACTATTTTTTTAAATAATCATATTATTTTTGTCAGTAAATTAGTATTAACAGTAGAGGATAAATAAAGCATTAAGTTAGTATTGAACGATTAAGTTAATATTCTAATTTTAAACCACTTTATAATAACTAAACTAAACACAATAGGTATGATTGTGTTTAGAAATTTTTATTTTATTTTATTTGTTTATTTTATTTTTATTTAACTTCTTCACCAGTATTATTTATTTACTTATTATATTTATATTTATTTCTTTATTATTTGTATATATTGTATGAATGAGAACTTGTAGCCCTAATGCTTATAGCCCTCCAGCAGTGGCTGATTGTATTATTATTCAATAAACAGATTAAAAAAAAAAAAAAAAAAAAATCTAAACATTATATCAATCATCGAAACATTGTTTCACCGTCTGACTAATAGCTCAACTTATAAATAACATATATATATATTGTCTTAAAAAAATCATCTATAACATGATAAAAACGCAAACATTAATTTTTATAAAATCAGTTACATTATAAAATACACTGTGAGTTTGTTGTACTTGACTCAACAATCATTCTATTAAAAAATTGTAAACATGTGTCTATTTAAAATAAAAATACATCAGAAATCGATACGATTCGACGTTTTGTTAACAAAAATAAATAAGAAGAAGAAATATGGAAATTCCTGGGGACAAGCTCATTTTTTTAAACACTTCTCCATTACAGGTGGAAGAACTACGCGTACCACCCCCAGATTCTTTCGAGAGCTACTGGGCAGCATGCATCGCTGCAGAAGTTGCTGCGGCGGCTACTGCACGCCCTGCGGCCAAGCAAAGACCAAAGAAGTTTAGGTGTCCACATTGCGATGTCGCCTTCAGTAACAACGGCCAGCTCAAAGGGCACGTCAGGATACACACAGGTTAATATAATAATGACACATGTTTGTTATATCATTAATCATTTTATAATGTATTACTGTATTTATTATAAATAAACTTAATTTATATAATTCTACACCGCGTAAATTGCAACAGATTTAAATACCATTAGGAACCACGGAATCGATGTAAATAATATTAGATCATTGTTCTCCTATTATAAAAATTATAATTTAGAAAATTCTTTTGATAACCTTAAATATCTCTAGTTAAATGTTTTAAAAAAAATAACATTTGATCACTTAGGCCATAGGCGCTGACTTCCGGTTTTTATTGTGGAGGCGAGAACCAAAAAAAAAATAAATAAATAAATAATAGCACGACTTTATATTGAATGAAATGAAATGAAATAAAAATAGATTTTTATTATCCTGGGACTGTTGTCCTTTTAGGACAAATTATAGATACAGAGGAAATGCCTGTGTGGCCATAAAATTAAATTAAATATTTACAATTCTCATTTAAATTAAAATATTGGAAGAAAAATAAAAGAAAAACACTAAATACATACAGATATATATATATATATATATATATATATATAATACAAACATGTGCAAATAAAATAACATAAGTAAACAAAATCATTTCTGGGGGAACTTAAAAAGTTCTCTTATCTACTTTTCATGATCAATCGGTTTGGGAAAGAAGTAGGTGCTTAAAAAGGAGTGATTTGAATGAGGAAACTGATTATGCATTTCGGATATCGAGAGGGATGGTATTCCAGATGGAGACGGCTTGAATTATAAAGGATTTGTCAAACGCAGCTGTTCGGTGAGGAGGAGGATGGAGGTCAGAAGTACGGGATCTAGTGGGACGGGATTGGTTATGGACAGATTGATAATAATAATGGAATATTTAAATTGTAGGCTGTGGAAAATATAGTAATGTCGCTGAGTTCTGATGGCTTGGCATAGAAAGGTAGCAAGGAAGGTATTATATGTAAAAATTTTTCATAAATATTGTAAAACGAACAAGTATAATATTGAATATTTAAAATTAATTTGATATATTTTTGTATAGTTGTAAGGAACGTTCTAGGTCTAAAAATTGTGGAACATTATATAAATGTTTTAACAAAACTCTTTTATTATTGACTGATCGTGAATCAATTTAAACGTTCGGTGGTTCAAGTGTCCATTTTTTTTACGAGATTATGACCATATATGTGCGTGGTTTAATACTTCTTCAAATTGTTTTCAAATGTTTCTTTAAAACCGGAAATTATAACCAGAAAAATGGTACTGTTAGTTTATTTAATCAAATATGCCAATATGTCGTACTATAAGAGCAAATCATTGCACCGACCGATTTGCATATATTCTAAATATAGTGATATAAATTTTTAATTTTCTCAATATTCTTTTCTTCTATTTCGGTGTATAATATTTCAGTTTATATTTTTTTTATTTAAGCCAAAGTTACACCGATGTTTTCACTAAAACATTCTACTTCAATGTTTAGACTCATCGAGCCATTTCCAAGTCTATCGTGTACTTGTCCATTATATTTCTTATGTAAAATACATGTGTCTTCTCATAATAGCCAGTGTTATGGTCGTCAAGTCTATTTTTAACATATATGTATCAGCCACATGTTGTCAGTTTCATTGTTATTGAGCTAACTTTTATTATAAATAAATAAAAGTTAAATTGAATATTTAATAGTTGACCGTTACATTATAAAGGAAGGAAATGGTGGCGATCATAAATAGGCTAAATAGATGCAAAACTATTTTATTAAAAGCCAACGTTTCGACCCGACTTTGCAAGTCTTCTTCAAGGAGGTGTGCTCAGCTAGGAGTTTCATTTAGAACTGAGTTAGAACTTAGAACTCAGTTCTAAATGAAACTCCCGGCTGAACACACCTTCCTGAAGAACACCAGCAAAGTCGGATCGAAACGTATGCTTTTAATAAAATTGTTTTACCACTATTTGAAAATCTCCTTATTTAGGACCCAGATGCTAGTAGGAAGTAACCAATGTTTATATGAATTTGAATATTTGGGTATTAACACTAGCAATTTTTACTGATTTATTTATTTTAGGAGAGAGACCATTCCGGTGCGAGGCCGAAGGATGTGGGAAAAGTTTCACCCGAAACGAAGAACTGACCCGCCACAAACGCATCCATTCCGGTCTTCGACCCTTCCCTTGCGAGTCCTGCGGGAAGACCTTCGGGAGGAAAGACCATCTGAAGAAGCACGCGAGGACGCACCTCCCTCAGACTGCCTACTACATCCCTCCGCCTCTTATCGTCTACCCATACCTGTACGGATACTAACAATTGGAGGCAATTTGAACTCCCATCGGGGAAAAAAGAACGATGGACTGAACACTTCAGTGCCTGAAGAAAATAGTGTACAAAGAAGAATCATTATACTAGTGCAACACCGTATGTGCCATATAAAAAAGTGCCAAAAATAGAAATCTAGCAAACATGAGTTTGTTGTTATTTTGTAGTGATGTTAAATATTAAAAAAAAAATAAGTTCTAAAAATATTAAGTACTATGCAATTTTTCTGTAAAGAGTGATACTGATTTCTTGATGACTGAAACAATTCTAAAGTAATTTTAGGAAGCTGTGATACTGATTATTCCAAGTGAATTATTAGGACTAAATTGTGATATATGATAACTTAGTATTTACGATTGTTTATTTATAGTGTTTTCATAGTATGTTTTGAGGTTATGTAATTTTTAAATCTGATCTTTATAATAATTTTTTTTTTTTTGTAAATATTTTAACTTTGATAAAGTTTATCAATTAAACTGTATTCAATTAATTGCATCCATCATCCCTTGAGACCCCATTATTCTTGGAAATAAGATAAAGATACTATTTTAATCAGTAAAAATGTAATTAATGATATTAAAACACTTGATAGTAATATTGTGAAAGGGATCCCACCCCTTTCGTTGAGATGAATGTGGAGGGGATTGAGGGGGAATGAAAGAAGGTTCAAGATGGCGGCTTGTTACATGAGTCATTGTGGTTGGTTGTATTGAATGGACGGAGGGGAAGAATACACCATTTCAATTTAAATAAATATTATAGAGCCCCATTGTGCTTGCGTTGATTTATTATATGTATTAACAATACCATATGTGGTTATGAAAAAAAGCCACCTTATATCTATTCAGACTAGAGATTCTTTACAACCCTCCTCCCTCCCCCCAAGTTAAATTGGTTAATATAAGAAAGTGTAGTAAACCAAACACTTGTTGGATTGATGAAAATAAAATATAAATATTTAAAAGCAATAAAGTTTAAAATTTCTGTCAATTATAAAATAGTTTCTGAGAGAATTTTGGCATTTAATTTAAATTTGAAATGATGGTATGAAGTATTAATTTGAAGAGTCCTAGTTTTGACCTACTAAAATTTATAACTTATTATTTATGATTAAGTAATTAACATTTCAAGAATAAAACAACTAAAATGGTCCAAGTTTTTCTTATCTTATTTCCAATGCAATGGAAGCAAATATTTTATACAATTTAATCTGTTCATTTTTCCTACTTTTGGTGTCTTGAAGTTTTTTTATTTGTTACAATAAATTAGGCAATTTATCACCAACCTTTTATTATTACGCATCAATTTAACGTTTCGACCATACTAAGGGTCATTTTCAAAACTGGAAAATTATAATAACATTATTAGTTAATATTCAGCATTTATAAAATGAATTTCTTATTACATTTAATTGAATTGTCTAACATTCTATGTTAAATTATTTCCGATATACTTAAATTTATATAAAGATATACATAAGGTATACACTTTTTGTTAAAAAAAAACCCTTACATGTACGTAACTATAACCATTACGTCGAAACGTTAAATTGATGCGTAATAATAAAAGGTTGGTGATAAATGGCCTAATTTATTGTACCAAATAAAAAAATATACAATTTAAATTTTTGAGAATATGATTTAAACACGTTAGCTTCCACATTTCTATATGTTAGAAATGAAAGATTAAAAAAGAAAACAATAAATTTTCTATGGGCTATATGAGATTCATGAAAATGTAACTAAATGATCTAGTTAAAATAAGAAAATACATAAAATATCGCATAATCGTATTCGACTTATTACAAGACCGATAATTATGCATAGCCATCATATAAATTTGTAAACTAGTGCATGATTTTTAAATAAACGTACACAGAGCAATATTATAAAAAATATTAGTGTTCATTAGATAAATTTGAGTGAAAAAAAAAATGAATTTATTAACTATAAAAAATGTTTATGTAAAAAAAAAAAAACATAACAATCATTGATGATTATGTTAATCATAAAAAATGTCACTAGATACAAGGAAATTATCTTTTAAAATGCATAGTACAACATTAAAGAATTGTAATAGCTTTTAACCCGAACTAATATTAATTCTTGTTTATAAGCTCTTTAACCAATACCAAAAGATTCGAAATCATTCACTGAAATAAACCAATAGTTAATTAAATATTATTACATTAAGAAAATTATTACTTTCTTGACTAACGTTAAGTAAATTTTTCAGTTAACAAACACATTAGAATAAAACAACTAAACGGTTCAAGTTTGTCTTGCCTTATTTCCAGTGCACTAATGATCCTTTGCAGATTTATTCATTATTTTTTACTTTTTTATTCTTAAAGTTCATTCATTTATTATTTTAATTCATTTATTGATTTTAATAGTATTTTTTTTTAATTTATTTATTTATCTTATTATCTATAAGTGTCTATTTTTATCATTATTTATTTATTTTATTATATTACTTTTTTTAATTTTATTTTTATCCTTTTTTATTGTTTTAACAGTATAAAAGTAGTGTTATTTAGTTGATCGGGCGCTGATGACCTGGATGTTTTTTGCCTAAACATCGAAACAAACAAACAAAACTAGTATACAACAGCCCAAAGACGTCCTTTATTAAATGACTTATTTTAAATATTATAAATGTGGTCGTATAAAAACATTAATAAGGAGTGACTATAGTCAGTGGGTCACCAATTTCAACTACTTTTTTTTCGGTGATACTACATAACAAATATTTTACACATATCCCGGCATTCGTGTCAATAGGCCTAGGAGTCGGAAAAAAATTATATTATTTAAAAAATATATATATGTTATTTATTTTTGCCTTTGCTTGGCCCAAAGTTCCGAAATTCTATGTTAACGGAAGGCCCCATTGAACAGTTACTATAAATGTCCTAATAATAATAAATAAATATTAATAATAAATCTTTAACCTTTGATATCTGTTTAATAAATGAGTTTGAAATATATGTTAATATAAACTTTTTTCTTTATTTTGTGTTAGTGAACACATACCTAAAATAGTGCCGTGCAATTACGAAACACCCTGTATATAGATGTGTATATATTTTAGAAGAATAAGGAAAAATTTTGACTATTAGATTAAATAAGTTAAAATGCATCAATTACAAAAACAATATGAGTAGGTAAAGCAGGCCAAATAAATTATTGTTACGAAAAAGAAAGTTAGTTTCGTTTTAAGGGTAAAACTCTTAAATACGAATTATTGTATAATTAAAAAAAAATTTAGTACTTTATTTTCCTGGATGATTTTTTTTCCGGTCGTCCACTAAAGCATTAATAACTTCTCAAAAAATTTCTTCTTTAGTTTTTGTTTTCATAAAAATAAATTACTGAGATTACTTTACTGGAAATGCTTATTGGTTTTATGTAATTTAAGATTTATTATAACTCATTTGATACAATAGTCGATATTTTTTTCTTATTCTGCACTACATCAATTGATATATAATTATCTGAAATTCAGGTAAAGCAAATGCAAAAATAAATAACAAAAATTATATTTGAAATTATATTAAATATTTTTTCTCGGCTCCTGGAGCCCATTGGAACAAAAGCCGGGACATGTGTCCAATATTTTTTTATGTATTATCACCGAAAATAAATTGATCGAAATCGGTGACCCATTGACTGTAGGCTATCTTTTTTAGCCAATTAAGATATTTCACTAGATGTGCACATACATAGTAATGAATTTAATATAAATATACGAGTAATAATAATGCATCGATTTATTATGTGTTTCTCAAATTTATATATGTGTAGTTGTTATTACTATTATTAGCTTCTGAAAGAGACATATAATAGTTCTTGGTACAAATCCCTTTTTATCGAATTATTAACATCTGCCTGAAACTTCGTAAATAGCTTAATCTCTCATCGCTACCTATAAATATTTTATTTACGAAAATTCTTGGAATTGGAGCTTCTTGAATATGGAGATCGCCAAACTTTGTCTATTTAAATAGGTACTAAACACTAGTAAATACCTATGTATAAAGGCATGTATAACCTTGTTTTTTTTACAGCTTTGACAGGTCGCGCCAAACGGCACAATATCTTTGTAGGCCACCTGTTTTACCGATTTTGTAATCAAATTATCTTACCATCCAAGTGGAAAGCAAATGAGTATTTACGAGTTTTTAGAACCTTATTAAATAGACAAAGTTTGCCGACATCAAGATTGAAAACGCCCCGATTCCTTGAATTTTCGTAATTAAAATATTTCTAGATTACGATGATATGAAGCTATTACGAAGTTTCAGCCGGATGTTGATAATTTTATGAAAAGTTGAACTTAGTTTAAATTCTGTGGTATTATTTAGATAATCATTACCTCTATCAGGTTATTTTCTTTATATGTCAGGATAATAATCCTAATTAGTTTGCATTTTTCTTTCGCTCAGTTAACAGTGATAAAGAAATGCGACTAGCTGTGATACACAAAGTTGGAACATATAGGTCAGAGATTTTCAACTCTTTGAAACCTTTGAATAAAACAAATAAATAATAACAATGTACATCTATATCTCCATTATGTTTTAATAAAACAATAGGGAGCATATGACTTCTGTGAGCTGGGGTATATCAATCTTGGGCTGACGAAAGAAAAAAAAAGCTTTTGGTTATCAGCCATACGTTCATGTACCGCACTATAAATATAATAGTTCAAAAGCACAATAAATATAAATATAATGAGACTATATGTATGTGACAGACCTCGACCGGTCCGTCTCCGCACTGTGAGAATGGCAAAAGCAGTGAGACCAATGGCTGCTCTTAACAGAAGAAATCTAATTTGAAAACAACAAATCATGTCTCGTGAAATGGGAATCTCTGTCAGGTCAATGTCTCGCATTATAAAAAGTGACCTTAGGATGGGTGCATTTCGAAGAATTACAGGACAAAGGCTAACCAATTCCTCCCAAAAAATTAGAGTGGATAGATGCAAAGTGCTCCTTGGTCGTTATACCAATGGTCTTCATCGAAAGATTTTGTTTAGCGATAAGAAAATATTTACAATTTAAGAAAAAATTAGTCGCCAAAATGATCGTGTGTACGCACACAGTCATTGGAACAGTGAAAAGAGGTCATCGCCCTTCCTCAGTGATGGTTTGGTGGGGAGTTGGCTTTGATGGCACCTAAAAGCTCCATTTTTGTGAAAAATAGCCGCTAAAAACTATCAGGACGATATTTTGGAACCTTTTGTCAAGCCTCCAAATGATACTCTGTTTGCTGGAAGTCATTGAGTTTTTCAACAGGATTCCGCGCCAGCTCACAAGGCCCGGTCAACTCAGCAGTGGCTGCAAAAGAACATTCCAGAGCCTCATCTTTGCCTAGGATTGGCCCTCAGGAAGCGCTGATCTCAACCCACTAGATTATCGGCTTTTGGACTTGGAAAGCCTCAAACAATCTCTGGTCCGAGCAGTTGAGTGCTTTCCTCAAGAGGTGATGCGTGCTGCTATTGATGACTGGCCACGTTTCTTTTTTTTCTTTTTTTACTCTCTATAGATATACATTTTATTTTCTAATAAAGTTTTTGAAAAAAAATTGTTTTCTTCTAAAATCTGTATTTCCTTGTAACAATATTTATGACAGGACTAGATAAATCTTTATTAGTCAAGACATAAAAAGATAAAATGAGTAATAGTAATATCATGAATTTAATACGGAATTTTAATGGTACAATAATAAAATAAAACAATAATCTACATTAAATAAAAATTTTAAAAACCAATAAATACAATTTTTTTGTATGTGTGTGTGCGCGCTCACACATTTGTTCAATGTACCATTAAGTTTTTGATAGCTCGAAATAAAGAACCTACGATATGATACGTCTAGCCTTGATAAGAAGTGTTGGTTTGTATCAGAAGCGTGCCAACTGTTGTGAAATACGGACGTGCCGTGTGGATGATTAGATCAGTGAATGTAAAACCTGAAATCGCTTAAAGTATAGTTCGGGTCCCATTTATGTTGAGCTAGCTCTATCTTGGAAATTCACGTAATTGAATCATGCCTACCAGAATAGATCCCGAAAAAATGGAAGAAGTATGTGAGTAATTGGTATAAGTGTTAAAAAAAAAACTTTTGCACAAAAGGCATTCATTAAAAAATTCATGGGTGCTAATATAAGTATAAATGAGTCGTTTATATCCAAAGTGAACCCAGATCATCAATGACAAGTTTTTACTACTAATAATTAAATAACAACGTTCTCTATTCCAATCGTAATATCAAAAACAAAATATTATAAAAAATAAATTCAGAAATTATTTATTAATAGCACATTTTTTCCGCACAGCTATTTTAATAGTAATTAAAAACATCAAAACTTGAATAGGACCGCTTTTGGAGAGAATTAAACTTCAATGTCCGTTTTGGAACAATAAAAAAAGGTGATTAGTGTTTGGAGAGAGAGGGGGAAACTATAAAAATTGTACTATAAAACTATCTACTTTTTTTATGATAAACAACATTTTTTTGGTTATTCATATTTTTTTCTAATATTTTTTAATTGTTATATTTAATCAAATATGACTAATTATTTATCAAATCCGTTTTGATCTCACAGCCCTTTATTATAAATTTAAAACATTTTTACCAATATTTAAACAATATTACTTTTTAACCTTTCTGCTCCAAGAGCCATTTTCAAAAATTCATTTTCTTTTTTAAAAAAATAAAGCATTAGTACATTTTTTACAATAATGGTACTATGAAGCTAATTTATTTTCCTTTGAATAAAACGGTTAAAAAAGCTTTGAATGAATTATTTTTTTACGAAATGGAAGTTTCATTACATCCCTTGAAAATAAAGCTCAGTTACTGAAATGAACTAGTTTTTACACCACTGTTTTTAATATTTAGATTCGTTTTAGAAAAAAAAATCTCCACCATCGGATTTATTGGGTGTTTTTACTTGGGAATCACTACTTATCTCGGTTTTAAAAAAAATCGCGAAATTTAGCGTTCACTTTTGAAATAAGTGACTCATATATGCTTCACTATTTATTTTGCTTAACGATGAATCATAAGTGAGAGAGAACAAAGGGAAAATAAGACAAACTGGTGCTAAAAATAAATTGACAATCAAAATGTAAGCATGGGTGATTTTGCTTCTTCGCTACCGAAAATAGAGAACTTTGTATACGTTCGAAAAGTTTTTAAAACAATATTCCCTGAATCGACATTTTAAAATTTTAGACATTAAGGAACAAATTCGGTTCCTTACATGTCTGTAATCAAACACATCTGATGCACTTATCCTTTACAATCGTTAATAAGATTTTTATGAAACTTTTGGGATGGTATGAGCTGGTAATTGGATGGTTCCATACCATTGTCCTCAAACTACACACATATTTTCCTTTACGGATGCAAAAAAATATTTTTCTGGACAGGCCTATATTCCCAAAACGGCTCGTTTGATGAAAAAAATTGTCATCAAATTCCATTTAACTGTTAAGATTAATATAATTGTAACAATATGATTGTGAAATATAGTAATGATAAAAATATGGTAATAGGAAGTTACATAAGTTTTTTATCTATATCTTTCTATAGTAGCGTACTATATATATTGAATTATACATAATTAACATCCAAACAAGTGTAGTAAGTGTTATGTAATTTTTGACATACGTGACTAACAAAACTCAACATACCAACGATTTTATACAAAAGTGAACGAACATAAAAAGAGATTAATGAGAGACATTGCCACGGCTGACATGCTCCTGAACTTGAGAAGGAAACTATAAAGACAGTGCCGGCCTTAGACATTCGGCGCCCCCGGGCAATGACGTCATATCTCCCCCTCTTAAAAAAAAAATTTATTTCTTAAACTATTTTATATTATGTAATATTTGAATTTTATTTCACTCAACATTTCTCTAATACAGTCCCTTTATTGATTGGTTAAAATTAAATACTTTAATAAGTTTTGTATTTTTTTAAATTTCCAACAAGTGGCTAGCGCCCCTGAAGATCGACCAGCGCCCTTCCAGGTAGGCGTCCCGGAGATGTTGCCCCCGTCGCCCCATACTAAGGCTCCCACTGTAAAAAGGCGTTGGATGAGAGATCTCCTTCCTTAAGCACCCTAATTAATTGAAACAAGTCAGGCAAGAGGTGCTGCTGAGTAATGTCCTTCCTCATGCCTGAAAAAAGTTGACAGATGCAAATAATTTTTTATAGGCCAAAAAAAAAAAAAGTAGTTGAAGAATATTATAGTTGAGCTTGCATATTATTATGACCTTTATTATTAGTTTAAGAAGCTATACTGACCATACTTAGGCTTCGTTTTATTAAACTAATTTTTTTTATGTTTAGCATAGTTTTTAGGTTTTATTTTTTTATAGTAGTTCATCCATTTGGTTAAGAAAATTTGACCAAAAACCGTTTGTTTATATTTTGATTTTTGTTTTTAATAATCGCGTATAGAAAATATTGATAATGAAAAATCTCACTTCGAAATTGTAGAATACACTTAAGACTTTAAGTCGGTATATTAATATGACAAATTTCAATATATTTCAACCATTTAAAAAAAACGATAATGAATTCCACATAAATGTAAAGGCAGATTTAAGAGGTTATCGAGATGCTAACAATTCGGCATGGCGAATTGTTACCAACTCGATAACCTCTTAGATCTGTCTTTACATCTGTCTGGCATTCATTGTCGAAGGAGTATTTGACATATTTAATGTCCTTGACATAAATTTGTACGTATGAATATGGTTCGAGTGAAACAAAATATTTTACAATGCTGCAAACGTTTAACATAAAATATACGACAAATTAGTTCAACTTCTAAGTTGACCTCTATTTAATAAGTTCCTTTTTAAAGAATATTTAAACTTTAAAAAATTATTTGATTTGGTTTTAATTATATCTTAAATTGCAATTTCGAATATCGTATATTGTTTAACAAATTCATACTATCATCGGATTAATCTTATTCGATTCGAATTTAGCTGCCTCTTCCATAGATATTATAATAATATTTTTAAAAAAATATATATTATTAGTATTACAGAATGGCGTGTTCCATTACTGTAAATCCTTTAATTTAGTCTATATTCAGGTTAAACGTAATGCTTAATATCTAAATAATAAGATATTAAAAACATGGCGAGTTAAGTGGAAAATGTATGAAGTATAGAATCACTAAAAATAAAAAGCAGCGCAATTTAAATCATTAATTTATAATTACTATAGAAATATGCATCAAAATAAGATATGTGAAGGTTATCATCAAATCAGACTATAAAAGGAATCACGAGTACCATCAATGTTTTTTTGCAATGATAATTACATAAGATGTAAACAAACAATAACAGACACTTTAAATATTTAATGCAAATAACGAGAAAAATGTAAAATAGTTTATAAAAATACTATAAAAGATATTTTAGTCCATATCTTCCATAAAACCCATTAATTTGAGTATGCGTTTCAATTGTATCCCAATATTTTTCAATTATTTTGATTACATCTTTCCAGTTGATATTGGTAAATAAATTTTCTACATCAAAACAAATCAAACAATATTTACCTATTGTCTATTTTATTTATTCTTTCAAGTATTTCATATACCTCCATTGAGTTTTTTACATCATTCTTACTATCTAATTTAAGGCTATCGAGTGTGGAATTGATATTTTTTCAGTTTTTCCATTAATAATACTGATGGTAGGACTAAGTAGAGCGCCACTTTTATGTAACTTAACTAATCCATGTATTCAAGGTTTATTGTAGTTAGGGCTAATTAGTTTAATTAGAAATTTTTAAATAATCTGACATATGTCTATTATAGGCCATAGGTCACCAAAAAAACACAGTTTTTTTAATATATTACATGTGTGTTTATTCAACGTTTCGGCTTCAGGAGCCATTTTCAAGAACCTTCAAACTAAATTTTAATTTACTTTTTACCAGTTAAGTATAGCCTCAGACAATAAACTTGTATCATTCACCTACCATGCACCGCGCCATAAAATTTTTAAAATTTGTCATTACGATATGATTCGTCCTAATTCATTCTTATATTTCAAAGAATGTCGTTTTCCGTTTCTAAAAATTATAATAATAATTATAAATTAAAAATAGACTGCTATAATGGTAAAATACTTGAATGGTAAAAAGTAAATTAAAATTTAGTTTGCAGGTTCTTGAAAATGGCTCCTGAAGCCGAAACGTTGAATAAACATACATGTAATATATAAAAAAAACTGTGTTTTTTTTGGTGACCTATGGCCTATAATAGACATATGTTAGATTATGAGAAAATGGCACCAAACCCGAAGGATGGGACTAGAAAATGAAATTTTTAAAGTTAATAACAAAGTTCTATTTCCAAAAAATATAGACATC